GGAGAATTTACAAAAATGTCCAATTCCATGTTTGTTAAATGAAAAGTGTCTAATTTTGATAAATTTTGCAAAAATGGCCAAAGTTGATCCCAAATTATCCATTATACTCTTAATAAAAATAAAGCAAATTGTTACGAATTTCAAGAAAAACAAGTACCTTCCATGAGAAACTACATTAATTTTACCTAATAATTAATGAATTCATTAGTTTTCATTATCTATTAGGTAATTACTAGTGATTTTGAGAAAAAAATGAAAAAGATGAAGTAGAAGAATCATTAATATTAAAAAATAATTATATGTTTCCAATTCATAAAAAAAAAATCATATAATTTCATTTTGAGAAATTTAATCTCATCAAAATTTGCGAGTTGATTAGGTTTTCCACAATTCTTAATAGAAGTTAATTTTTCTTTGAAATTTTATTTGTGTTGATAAGTTGTGTTTAATAGTTTTTGTTCTCTACAGTTCATGACGTTCTCGACATTTGGACTTTATTTATCTCGACACTGACACTTCATTTGTCTAAAACAAGATTTCACTTTGAATATGAGAGTTCTCTACATTTCATAAAGTTATTGACATTTTAAATGTAGTTTTCGATATTTCATCAATTTTTTTTTTACCAAGTTATAAGGAAAAGTGAGCATTTAATACATGATTGACATGGTACATTTTAAGATAAGTAGTATATGTTATGTGTCAACTTACTATTGGCCAATATAATTTTTAATTATATGAATAATTTTGTCCTGATTGTGAATTTAAAATTGATATCGAGGACATTTTGGTATAAATTATAGTAAAATGGACATTGACTAAATTTTGGATATTTTTGCAAATGGCTATGTTTGGAATTTTTTGCAATTTCATTTTATTTATTATTTTTACTTTGATTTTATCTGTTTCTTGAAATAGCAATCTTGTGAAGCCAGGAAAGAATGGTAAACAAACGCGTTTTGTGGACCTTTTTCCTTGTCTCCATTTGTCGGCTGCTTTTGATTAAGTGTCACGGCTTTTAGGTTTAGTGCACAATGAATGGCCATAATCCATCACATTGCATGGTATTTATTTTTCATGAAATTGATCTCCTGTCCAAATAACTATAATTAATGTTATTTTATCACGTTAATAGTAAGAAATTTTTATTGGTTAATTTCAAAAATTGTCACTGAAGTTATATCAAAATCACAAAACGGTCATTGAAGTTTAAAACTTACATTAACGGTCACTGAAGTATCATTCGGTTTCAGTAATGGTTACTGAAGGACAGTTTTCATTTTAATTGAAACTTAATGGACCAAAATATTTGAAGTTTGAACCTTAAGGATCTAAATTGGAAATTTGACAATAAAACCAAAAAATAATTAAATTAAAAAANTGGTCACTGAAGGACTTTTTCATTTTAATTGAAATTTAATGGACCAAAATAGTTGAAACTTGAACCTTGAGGACCTAAAGCAACTTTGACAATAAAACCAAAAAATAATTAAATTAAAAAACCAAAAAAATTAAAAATCAATCTCTTTGTTCCCCACCGACCACCGCCACTAGTTGCCCGCCTCGGCCACCTCAAACTCCACACACCAATCTTAACAAAGGAAAATGCACCATTAATTAATTTACACGAGTTTGACATTTTTAAGCAAATATTATTCTTTAATTGAATACACTCCCCAATTCCACTAATATGGAAACCTGACCTGGTTTTTCAAAAACAAAAACACCACCTACACCAAACTAGAGCAACTGCTCTGCTATCCGAACCTAGTTTAAACCTGGCCGCCCCACCCCCCGAGTAACCCCATACATCATCTGTACTGCATATATCTCCACCCCCAATTTCTCAACGAACACTTGAAATTAATCGAAAATGCGGATGAGTTGTAATCAGGGCCGGCCCTGAGAATTTAGATGCCCTAGGCGACTAATTATTATGAGGCCATTTAACATAATTATAATTTCACAAGTATAGCAAAATTTAAATATTTAAATAAATAACACTTTAATATTAAAAAAAGACTTTATATTATTAAAAAGATAGAGTAGCAAGTTAAAACTTCTCTCACAACCCGAGAGATAAGGC